TTGTAAAAGGTTACATATTTTACTCAGTGAGGCTGGGAATGTGCTTACCTAGGGCTTGTATTATCTGCAGACATTTTTCTATCTGAATATCTAAATAAAAAAAAGAATCTTGAAATTTAGTTTAAAGTAACTTATAAACTAAACAAATGTCATTCAAAGGGAGCAAATGTGGAAATTTCACATAAATTGAGATTTATCTTGCAAAAAAAACTCATTTTATTTTAATTGTTACGGCATTTTTCTATCCAATAAATGTGTTTTTATGGAAAACTTCCCTCCTACTCACCTTCAGATACTGACGGTGGAACTAAACATTAACAACAAACAATATGTCAATAATCAGTGATACTCTTTAATAAAAGTTACTTTTTTTCTCATTTAGACTTTTAGTAGTTTTTAGAACAATTCATACATTACACAAAAGGTTTGTTGGGAATAAAGATACAAGAATACTTTAAATATTCTCATTTTGGTTTTTAGCACACAAAAAAAAGAATAAATAATAATCTTGAAAATACAAGTTGGTCAGAAAACGGGACATATGAATGGACATATTGAAGAGCTATGAAACTAACACCTCATATAATTATACATTTTCTCAGTATAAATTTGTTGGTGTACCCAAGTCAAAATATTTATGGTTATTTCTGTCTCTCTTGTCCTCTTTAAAGAGAGTGCCAAAACAATAAACATTACCCTGTGGGAAGAGCCAGGGGCTGCTTGTGTGTGGATGAATTAGCATTTAACAAGGCACATGCCCATTGTTGAGTGGGAGCTCCTTAAATGGAGCGAGTGTGGGAAAGCTGAGGGGAGCAGAGTCACAGTTCGGCGTGATTAGCATCCGCGGCCCCACCAGCACCTGACTGTTCTCCAAGGGGAGCTGGCACACTTCAGGGGAGAGTTTATTTCACCACTCTTTCTATTTTCTTTATGTCTTTCTTTTCTTCTCTTTCATTGCTGCCAACTTTGTTACTTTTGCCAACTTAATTTCCACTCTAAGGCTCATTATTGGCATGTAAAGTATTTTTTTTGTTGTTTTATATATATTTCCACTGACGGATGGCAGCAGTTCAAAGCTATGTATCCCTTACAACGTGATTTCTAAACACTTTTATCAACACTGTGGTGAAACACTTTTTTGTGGCTGCATAAATCTTTTAATCTACTATCAAGAGAATGAAGTTTTGTACTTTTCAAAAAATTATCCATTAGAAGTACAAGGCTTTTTCTTCAATATCTTGGACTGCATTTAATCATTTTATTCTCCTTCAGATGGTTTGGACTATTTATTATTTTCACCTAAAAACAACCTGACAATTGTTATTAAATATTTTAAAGGGCTCCATTTTTTTCAATTAAGTCACTTAAAAAAACATATTCTGTCTTATTCTAATGCTTAATAAAGATGGTTATTTGGACAATTTAAGTTTTTACTAACATTTGAAACTGAAAAACTCACAAAAAAAAAAAAAACTCACAGGAAGGAAATTAGAAGAGTTTTACTTAAACAATGATTTAAGTCTTTGGTGCTCAGGGCTCGGCAGGGTACATTAACATTGAAATTTACTTGGATTATATCCATGAGCTGCCAAATTAGAACAGGGATGAAGCCCCCTAGGCCTGAAACTGGTGGTGGAACGGAGATGTAATGCCAGCTGGAATAGGTGTAGGTTCATATGAATCTCCATGATGAGCCAGCATGAAGTGAGAGTGGAGAGGAAAAGCTCCACTAAGGAAAAGATCTCTTGTAGAACCAGGCGCAATATGGTGGTCTTCTGCCAGACCAGCCGGAATTGCCTCGTGAAAAGCGAAGGAAGGAAGCAAGGAATTGCTTCAGTAGGGACAAGTAGCAGCATAGAGAAGGAGCTAGATGAAGCTTATGAGGATGGTGGAGAAGGGGATGGATGAGGGTTGAATCAAGGTCACCTTAGTTAAAATCTGACATGCGATCCAAGCCATATGCTTGTTGCGTAGCACGCTGATCATTGAATATGAAGTTATTTAAAGCTGGAATCTTGATGCTGATTGGATTAGGAGAGGGTGCAGTTGGAGGCTGATTGGCTGCTTCACAGACGGATGAGCCTCTGGTTGCATGAGGGAAAGTGATCTAGTTTATTCAGTTGAATTTCCGCGTAGGCTTCATTACAACGATTTATACACAGCAATCTCTATAATAACCAGTAACACAAATAATGACTCTGGCACAGACCCACATTTATACGTCATCAGGATGGAGATAAAAATTATGTTTGACGGAGAGAAAACAGATGAAAAACCCTTAAGACGCCACTACTTTCAAATGAGAAAGGACTCTGAAAGAACAGTTTACATTGACAGTTTCACAGTAAAACTGTAAAAACGTTATAATTAGACTTGGTTATGGCTTCTATATTCAAGAGTAGATAGAAATAGAAATAACAGCATTAAAGTTGATCAATCCTGCACTGTTTCATATGGCTCAGGCTGGTGGTAGTGTTTTAAACAGGTGAGGGGAATCTTATTGGTTTGAGATGCATAGTTCCTGCTGACCATGCTCATTCTTTTATTACCATGGTATATCCATTTTCGAATGGCTGTTTCCAGCCTCAATATAAATCAGATCTCAATCCAATATAGTACTGGATTTTGTGGACTGTGAATTTGCTGCCAAGTCCCAGGGTACCTTTTGTGATTGTTTTGTGATCTTATGCCAAAATGATAACCTAAAATTATCTCTAAAGGCAATTGATGGTCCCTCCAAGTCCTAGCAAGTTATATCAATGTAAATAGCCAACATATGTAGATTATTGTTAATATAATTTAATTATAAAGTAACTTTCCATCGTACACATCAATGCCAAAAACTTCTGAAGCTTCTTTTTTTCATATCAACCAGTAACTCAGGGCACAGAATGATTGATCCCAACAACAGGGAGCAGAGTTGCTCACTTACCAGAATCATCAGCTTCCCACATTCACACAGAGCTCTGTAAAAGCCCCCCCCAACTCATCAATGTGTTCCCAAGAGACAACTATCAAGCAACACATATGCTGCACTGTGAGAGACTGAAAACTGAAACTCTAACTCTTAAATGGAGATATGTAACAATACAAAGGAAGGATTTAAACATGCGTTTTCTCTTCTTTTCAAAAACCTCCACAGTTCAAATATTTAACCATGGGATTAACAATCTATCCTGGATTATCTAACTATAAGTACTATGTAAGTATAACATCAACAGAATGACAACTGTTCTCCTTTGAAGGGTGTAGCTAAAGCTGTATTCATGTATTGATTTATTCTTATTTTTGATACCTCATAAAGACTTTGGTGGAGTTGTTACACAAAGAGGGAATCAGCAATTTTATTAAGTAGCTTAAGTCTATCGTGAGTTCAGAGTCTGGAGACAGCATTTTTTCTTCCTGACACAACTGCTGCAGCATTTTCAGTTGCTTACTTTCTGAAGAAGAGCTAAACCTACAATGCCAAAGAGGGCTCTGGAGCCCACTCAAGAAACTAGCTGACCTAAGGTATGTTCACTCTCAGCAGCACAGACCCATGACAATAAAGACAGGAGCGCCCTCTAGAGGCCATGGGAATTACATACAGAGTACTTTAGCACAACATATAAGATAAAAAACATATTAGTCTAAAGATTTGATCAGGAACATTTCCCTATTATTTTCTAAATATTTTCATCTTGAAATAATACTTTCTCATTGTGTGGAATCACAAAGTTTCGCTCTATTAATACAATGCAAATACATATTTCACTTTATAGATTTATGCTCCTCTACAAATATTGTTTTATCTGATTTATTTGAGCACATTTTTATATTGTTTACTTGTGATGTATCAACATCAGTAATGTGACACATGTATGAATAAAAATACAAGAGAAAGCAATTCTGAGTACACAGAATAATAGACAATGAAGAGATAGCTTCAGTGGTATTGAGACAGGATCCTAGTTTTCATCTGCTATATGTTTTTTCAAAACAAATTAAAAATACAGCTGTATTTATCGGTTTTTCTTGAGTTGGAATTCTGATTTTATAGAAAACTGTAATTTTAACTTAAATTAAGTAAAAAAATATGTAAAATTCCTAAATTATGAATGTATATTGACCTAACATTCCAAATAATAGCTTTATTTTATCTGTTAGATGTTTATATAGCTACAACATTTTGTGTTGCTTTTTTGCTATGCTAGGGGATTTTTATTTTGATATTAAGGATAATCCAAATGAACATTTCCAAGACAAAAATAAATATTTTCAGTTGGAAGACATACATTTTATTAAACCTAACTGAATGGAAATTTCACTTCATGCAGCTTTCTTTATGTATTTGAATCCCTTGGCCTGTTTTTTTTTTTGTTTGTTTGTTTGTTTGTTTAATTTGTTTCACGGAACATTTGGTCTTGAACCGCCACTGGACACAAGCAGTAAGAGGGAAAACTCTTGAAAGAAATTTGAAGAGGAAAATGTATTAATGGAACGTAACAACAAAAAACGTAAACCCACTACGCTCACGCCTCTTCCGCTTTGCGTGCAAGCTGATTGGTTCCTGAGAGGCCAGTACGTACGGCACGCACGCAGCGTCATATTTTAGCCAACCATGGCGGAATGTGGTCGAGTTGACAGCAACACAAGTGGTCACACCATGGATAAAAGCATTACCCTTCCACCAGATGAAATATTCCGCAATTTGGAGAACGCAAAGCGCTTTGCTATTGACATAGGTAATTAGAAGGTTACATTTTTCTGAAGACATCATGACTTTAGCAGGGATGTTGCTAATCTCCATATCTTTAGGGCAACGCTGCTGCATAACATTACTTTATGGGAAAGTAAACAAAACTGAGAGGTTTTCAGCTTCTGAAAACACTTTCTATTGTTTACCTGTCTCAGCTGAATGTACTTTTATTGTGGAAAAAGACCTCGGTTGGTTTTGTAGACGATGCTTAGTTTTCGAAACGGATGTTAATCCCCCACAACTTGGGAATTGTTACTAGTCAGTCTCACATTAACCTTTTGTCTTTATTTTCACAGGTGGGTCTCTGACTAAGCTTGCTTACTACTCAACTGTTCAACACAAAGTGGCCAAAGTGCGATCCTTCGACCACAGCACAAAGGTGCAGTTTGGAAATAAATAGATAGAACTCTATATGGGAGCCCTGGTACGGAAGAGGATTAGGGCCACTGGAAAAATAAAAAAAAGTTTACTGATTTTTAAATTTTATTCTAGTATATGAAAAAAAAAAGTCAGAATTCTGACTTT